TCTAAAAACGAGAGGAACATTGATGATGAAATTTCAAACGCAGTTTTCTGAAAAAAGATAATGAATTGATGAGATGGGATAACTGCAGGATATCCAACTTCTCCATACCACGGTTTTATTGGAATAAGAAAATGTTGTTTTTTTTTGCCTCGATAAATCACCGCATTCTGTACCTTATAGTATTTGCATTGTTTCTGCGCCATATTGTTTCGATAAACTTCGAATAAAATTCGCTTCTCTTCCTCATCCTCTACCCATAGAATAGACGGAATCACAAAATTACTATGCTGTCGACATTCCGGACAAGATCTGGAAAGATAGCCTTATAACTGGAATTTGAGAATCATAAAGCAGATACTCTGCATACCTTACAACTTCAGTATCAAATGTTTGATTTCGCCTCCATTCTCGAATGCAATCTAAGCAGAAACAATGGCGACAATTTTCCAAAATTCCAAATCTTAGGGACTTAAAAGGACAACTTATTATTTCCTTCTGTAACTGGAGTTTAAAAACCAAAGTGCGCCAAAAACTCACCTTCTCCATGATATTTTCCATGCATATTCCACAGCATTTCCCCTTACCTTTAGCCTCCGCGAATGCTTGCTCCATAGCCATTTCATGCTGTTGCAAGCATTCCTGAACCATAAGATAGAAGTCAATTATTGATGAAGAGAAAAATCTGACCGCAAAGTGCTGCTTCTGCTGCTTTTCATCGTATGGATGGATGCAGGCACGCGAACACATATCGCAAATGAGCCCATGAACAAATTGGCAATTTTCGTTATTACATTCGCCCATCTCAAAGTATGGACAAAGTGGTAGTTGGGGTTCACTTTGATTTGAACCTGCAGCCACTGCATAAGAAACACCTGAACGAAGGTATACAAAAAGCTGTGCTCAATCACCGTAAGGGCGCCTTCAAGCTGGTTAACGTTCTTCAAAAAACTTATCTGACTTCAAACTGACTCATAACATTTGCATGATTGATGAGCTCAATCATGCAAATGCTGTGAGTCGAAAGAAGATCTTTAGGCTATAGAACATTTTTTCGACTACTAAAGTGAAAGTGAAAGGCAGTTCGTTGAATAAACAACCAATTATTCAGGCGATATTTCATAACCTATCTTTCAGGCAAGTACTCTAAAAATCAGTTTATTC